TTTGGTAATATATCCTCACTATTGCTAGTGGAGTCCTCTTGTTTGCTATTTCCTGTGGTATTTCTAGTTTGCAATATTGGTTTTGTCTTATCTTTGACTACACTTGTTTCCCTACTATGGCTCCTGTCCCCTATGAGGTCATTTATATGTATTCCTTCCTGAGTATATTTTCCCGACTACCTGGACAAATCTCCAGCTTCACCATTTCTGTCTCCCAGGACAGCACCTCCAGCTTCCCCATTACTGTCTCCCAGGACAGCACCTCCATGTTTCACCATTACTGTCTCCCAGGACAGCACCTCCAGCTTCACCATTACTGTCTCCCAGGACAGCACTATCAGCCCCACATTTACTGACTACCAGGACTTCATCTCCAGCCTTACAGTTTCTGACTACATGGCCAGTATCAAGGGCAGTACCATTCAGCACAGACTTTTTATGTTCCCATCTGTTGTAGAAAGCTTCCAGGTTGTCTATGAAAGCAGCTTTGATGTTGTCCTCTTTTAATACCCTTGTGATTTTAGTCCACAAATTTATCTCATTTGGGCATACCCAAAAACATTTCCCTGTTTTAACACTGCTTGTAGCTAGTTCTTGGATATCTGCACAAGGGGCGTGACACCAATTTCCACACAAATGACAATTTATCCATGTGGAAGCCCGTTTGTTTGACTGACCACAGACTACACACAGCTTCATAATGATTTGAATGGTTGATTTACTGCAATTCTACTAGCAACCTCTTGAATATTCTATTAATAACCTCCTTAAATGAAGCTCTAGCTATTTGTATTTCTGTTTCTAACTGTTTTTGTATATTGGACAGCTTACCGTGCACGTTCCTGATATATATTTAATGTTTGTGTTTATAAGGGCGCCTACGTATGCATTTTTTAAATTTTTTATTAATGGAAAATTTAGTTAACTCATATTTAATCCCTTAACTGTCCAAACATAGACCTACATTCTTTCCACTAGTGCTCAAAATGTAGATCTACATTTTATTTTTCCTATCTCCAAATTTGGCACGATTGGCCTGAGATGCCTAGTTAGCACAGAATGGGTCTTAACACTCGGTGTGCTCAGTATTAAAATAATCTGGGACCACTTAGTACCTTGTTAGAGCACCAGTTCAATTGAGCACCAGCAAAAGCAAAGAGTGTGGCAAACACCAGGGATTCACTGATGTCATGTCATGTATTAACACTCCCCATTTAAGAGGAAAATGATGGATGAGGCCACAAGTAGTCGAGGAAATATAAAAAACCTCGATAATAACCCATGTGTAACATTTGTGCAGCATCCTTTCATTTTTGACACCACTGGCTGTCTCTCCATCTGTATCTGTTTATCTGTCTGTCTATATCTCTGTCTCTGTCATATAAGTATAGTTACTATACAGAGTGTAAATTACCTAGGATAACCCAAAAATTCCAAGCAAAGTGCTATACCGTGCTTGTAGATATCAAACATAATAAGCATGACTTGCAACTCAGTGGCATGTAATATGCATTTTCACTTTAGGCTGCATTTTACTGTCTCAGGGTAGGAAATAGTGGGTTGGGTGAAAAAGTGTATGACCAAGCGTGCGTGCATGTGCAAGTCAACGGCCATTTAGGGAAAGCAGTGGCACTAGGGCGGTTCCTTAGACAGGGCTGCCCACTCTCGCAATTGTTGTTTGCATACGTGCAAGACCCTTTCTATAGGCTAGCGGAGGCAAGAACACAGGGAACAGGAAGGTTGGCCATGGCCAAGTCTGGTGGGGTACATGAAGAAACATTTATATGATATAGATGCTAAGCCTCATTCTTTTAAACCTAAAGATTTGGTGTTGATATAAAGGTTAACCCCCGGACATTCTTTACCATGCTATCTAGGCCCTTACGAAGTGATAAGAAAAGAAAACGATGTTAACTACTTGATTCGTTGGACAATAAAGCAGACTGTAAACGGATGGGGTTGTAGGCGCCCTTATGTAATTCATCACTTTGATAATACTACCATGCTAGTAACTTCGTTATTAGCTAAAATGAAGCTTCTGGATCATTGTACTATTGTGCTGTTCATCTCTCATCATATGTTTGTTTTTTTTAATTATTAAATAAATGAATATAAGTATTCATGTCTGGTTATGAGCTCATTTATATGTAAAAGTACATAATTATCATTGCACAGTTCAAAGGTATGGCTGGTTAGAAACATCACAAGTTGATGCAAAATGTTAAGTATATCACGTGACTTGTGGTTCAACAGGGGATTGTGTAGGCGGTGTCTCTCTTGACTACACTGAGGAAGCTAGGAAGCTTTAGAGGCTTGTACTTGGCCCATACATGTTTTTAAGGAGCAAACTGTACTCATTCAGCTTCTACTCAGTCGACTATAAATGCCTGAAACTCTCTTGAGAAAGAATATTCTCATGTATTACTGTTATGGGGCTATAGACCCAACATGTATTTATAAGTAGCAGTTACTCTGAAATACCTAATTATATTGAATTAATGGGGACACAGCACTTAAATGGCCCTAAGGGAAGATCACCCTTAGGGACTGAGAGGCAGCTGGTTCAAGCCTGTTTTTTCTCAATGTAATAGGTTATACTATAGACACACACACAGTTTAAATAAGTAATTTATAAAGTTGTATTTCTTTTTGTAGAATTAAACTAAGGTGTGGGAGTCGTGGTAACTAGAGAATTGAGCTTGGCAACAGTCTTGTTTTTGGTGGGTGTGGGAGGAGCTTAGCTAGGCTCCTCCCTCTCCCTCTCTCTTTCTTTTGTTGACTTGAAGCTGGTAGGACCTCTGGGTCCTTCTTTCTATTTTTTTTGGGCATTATGTGTGCCCCAGGGGTGAGTTTTATAATTTAAGTTGTGGCCACCATACCCAGGGCGACTAAAGTGTGTCAAAACACTGGTTAGTCCAGATATTAGTCAAGAAGAGAGAAGGGCAAATTGTTGAGAAGCACCATGTGGACTATCCTAGGAGAACAGCTAAGGGGTGTGCAGGCTTGTGTTTGAATATGTGAGTGCTGTAATTGTATATTCTGTACATATCTATTTAGAATACAGTTATATTTTTTATAGTAGTAGTTTAAATAACCTGTGAAGAGGGGTGAAGAAAGCATTTCAGAGACCTGAGGATGATCAATCATTAATATAAGTATTACCCTATACCGATAAGGCCTTTATGTAAAAGCTACCCCACACTAGAACATGTAGTGAGAACCTTACTATCAAAGTAATAAGGGACAACAACATAACAATTACATCTTTGAAAAGACACTCTTACATGATACTATATCTGTGTTAATGGAATTTGTATATTGTAATGTCTTACTTATTTGCATATTTATTTATGATTCACTAAAGCAGATTATGTCTATTATATGAAAGTAACGTCATGTATTACTTAAATCTTAAACCCAAACAGTGCATCTTTAAATTATATACATATTATACTTATCTCAAGATAAGTATTAATACTTCAGTTAAATTAAAATAATTTTTGACGAAGTCTTGATTTCCTGTTGGTAATTATATAATTGAAAGAAAAAACAAGGAATGTTAACTTAAAGAATATTATGAATAAGAAAGAAACAACCTTTTCTTAGGAGAAATTACTGTCCTCTCTTTATTGTTAAAAATAACAAAGCACTTCTCAAGCTAGTAATACACAGGCATACAGAAAGATCGAGACAAACAGGCAGACAGAAAGACACACACACAGGCAGACAGAAAAACACACACACACAGGCAGACAGAAAGACAGATAAGAGCTAGACAGACAGACATAGATAGACAGACATAAATGTTTGTGTGTAACAGTGAAAACAAATAAAGCCAGGGTTCCCAGCAGCAGTACTTTATCATCAAGTGTCACCCCACTGCTTATCCTGTCAGCAGTTTAGTGACTCATCATAAACATGCTTCAAGAAGTTTCATATATACTCAGTATGTAGAAAACATTGCTGAGACCTATAATTACTTTGTATACATTTCCAAACAATAGTAAATGACCAAGACAGGAGAAAATTTTCACCTGTAGGTGTGAATGTGACAATATAAGTACTATTTCAGTATGTAATATTAGTGTCAGAACAAAGATTGGCTATGAAATCACAAGAACTGTTATAAATTGTAATTGTCAGAACATAAAAATTATATAAATTAAATAAAAACGAGAAAAAAGGTATATTGACAACACTTCTGCAAGGGGCAGGACTCGACGTTGCCATCAAGAGAGTATCCAGTGCCAACTTCACAGTCTTATATCTCGGTAAGTACGGATCCTAATTTTTTTTTTTTTCAAAATGTTTGGAGCACTGGGTGAGAGAACATATACGTTTAGATAGTTAAGGGGTTAATAATCATGTGCACTCAATTACGACATTCTTGCAATGTCCAATTTTCCTGTGCATCTGCAAGGGTGTTGCCATGTAATTTTTTTTTGGAACACACCCTATAGATTTTTTAAGAGTATTAATCTCTAATAGATTTTGGAAAATATTTGTTCGATAAATCAAGGTTGTCTAATGCCTTGCTCTCACTTGGTGGGAAGCTGGGAGCTGACGGAAGCACCACTGACAGCCCAGCGAGAAGACTGTGAAAATCAATGGGAGTTCTTGAACTTTCCGCTTATTTTTGTGTTTAGATTTTTTGAGGATGACAATAATAAGGGTTTTTTAATGGTAATTAAGAAATGTTAAAATTTGTCAATGGTGTTCAATGAACATCACACCATATTCTGTAAATAACTAAACAATAATTTAGCTGCTACCTGCAGAGAAATATCCTTCATAAGACAAACACCAAGATTTCCCTACAGCTTAACTTGCCATCATTTCATATTGGTCGAACTTCAATATTATGTCTATTCTCTGAATATGATTATGTCTAAAGTTAATACTAACTTCAACATAATAACAGTATGTATAAAAGTTAATAAGGGATTATTTAGCACTGATTGCTATGTTACACTTTCTTTTATCATAACATGCAAACTAACCTGTCTGTGCAATCTTCTGCATATGATGAACAACTGATGTAGAAAGATCAGTTCTAAGGATCTGGCTTTCCAGACCCAATAAAGCTCCAACTTCTTCTTTTCTACAGATGTAAACAGAGTGACCAGTCTTTGAGAATGTGATCCACGTTCCATTGTCTAGAGGCAGGAGAGGAATTCCTTCTAGATTATCGTAATTTCCATCTGAGACGACATACTCTAATAGGTGTGCTCGATTCCACCCTGTTCTGAAAGACTTTAAAGTTTTCATATGTTCCTTCACTATCTGAGGAGTAACTGTTGGTGGTGCAGATCCTGCAAGTAAAAAATACACTATTAATTAGATATTGATCAATCACTAAAAGAAAACTGATTAAAGGATCTCTGTTCCCCTCCAGAGAACCATCCAATGTACATACAATGTTATGAAATATCATAGATGGATTAATGAAAATGTGTATATTAATGTAATATACAACATTTAATGAGACTCAGTGATTATTATTGGGTATTATTATTATCATTACTAATATGGTGCCACTCGTACAAGTCGTCTGGCTACCACATCTCACATTTATGTTTATTTATTCTACTGTGGGGTGCATTAATCATCTTTATATGTTATGTATCATGTTTATTATATAATTTTGAATCAATATCATAGACGGGTTAATGAAAATGTGTATATTAATGTAATATATGACATTTAATGTGACTGGGTGATTATTATTGAGTATTATTATTATCATTAATAATACAGTGTCTCAACATAAGACACTCTTAGTGATTTTAATGTGTACCTGCATGCCAGCTAAGTGTGTAGGTTTACTTAGGTACAGGTATACGTAAGCATAATTATGAAAGTATATAAAAATATGAAATAACTTTTAAAAACACTTGAAATTTTGGAGTTTCCAGCCATAATGGAGAGACGTGATGCTTACAGATTATTATTATAATCTAGGGGAAGCGCTAAACCCGTAGGATTATACAGCGCCTGGGAGGGATGTGGAAGGCATTCAGGCTTAATTCGGGGAACTGGAGCACAGATCCAATTCCCTAAATCAAGAGCCCCTCACCAACATCAAGGAACCTTCCCTGAGGGGATGCTTACAGAGCTCACTGAGAATGTAAACAAACCAGATGGGATGCAGTGACCATATCAGAAAGTCAGGTGGAGCCGTATAGTGACTTTTGGTCGTACTTTGAAATGTCTGTACAGTGGACCTTCGCATACCGTTGGCATCACATAACGTTAAATCCGCATACCGATACATTTTATCACTGAAATTTTGCCTCGCATACCGCTAAAAAACTCGCTCAACGCTATTCGTCCGAGAAACTTCAAATGTGCAGCCTGAGCCAGCTTCACGTTCTGCCGGTGGCATTGTTTACAAGCCAGCCTCCGCGGTAACATCCAAGCATACAATCGGAACATTTCGTATTATTACAGCGTTTTTGGTGATTTCATCTGCAAAATAAGTGACCATGGGCCCCAAGAAAGCCTCTAGTGCTAACCCAGTGGTAAAAAGGGTGAGAAATACTATCATACCACAGTCAGCTGCTGCTTGACCAGTCAGCTGTTGCTGGATCAGTCAGCTGCTGTTGCACCTCGATCAGCTGTTGCTGGACCAGTCAGCTGTTGCTGGATCAGTCAGCTGCTTCTGCACCACAATCAGCTGTTGTTGGACCAGTCAGCTGTTGCTGAATCAGTCAGCTGCTGCTGCACCACGATCAGCTGTTGTTGGACCAGTCAGCTGTTGCTGGATCAGTTAGCTGCTGCTGCACCACGATCAGCTGTTGCTGGATCAGTCAGCTGTTGCTGGATCAGTCAGCTGTTGCTGGACCAGTCAGCTGTTGCTGGACCAGTCAGCTGTTGCTGGATCAGTCAGCTGCTTCTGCACCACGATCAGCTGTTGTTGGACCAGTCAGCTGTTGCTGAATCAGTCAGCTGCTGCTGCACCACGATCAGCTGTTGCTGGACCAGTCAGCTGTTGCTGGATCAGTCAGCTGCTGCTGCACCACGATCAGCTGTTGCTGGACCAGTCAGCTGTTGCTGGATCAGTTAGCTGCTGCTGCACCACGATCAGCTGTTGCTGGATCAGTTAGCTGCTGCTGCACCACGATCAGCTGTTGCTGGATCAGTCAGCTGTTGCTGGACCAGTCAGCTGTTGCTGGACCAGTCAGCTGTTGCTGGATCAGTCAGCTGCTTCTGCACCACGATCAGCTGTTGTTGGACCAGTCAGCTGTTGCTGAATCAGTCAGCTGCTGCTGCACCACGATCAGCTGTTGCTGGACCAGTCAGCTGTTGCTGGATCAGTCAGCTGCTGCTGCACCACGATCAGCTGTTGCTGGACCAGTCAGCTGTTGCTGGATCAGTTAGCTGCTGCTGCACCACGATCAGCTGTTGCTGGATCAGTTAGCTGCTGCTGCACCACGATCAGCTGTTGCTGGACCAGTCAGCTGTTGCTGGACCAGTCAGCTGTTGCTGGACCAGTCAGCTGTTGCTGGACCAGTCAGCTGTTGTTGGATCAGTCAGCTGTTGCTGGATCAGTCAGCTGTTGCTGAATCAGTCAGCTGTTGCTGGATCAGTCAGCTGTTGCTGGATCAGTCAGCTGTTGCTGGACCAGTCAGCTGTTGCTGGACCAGTCGGCTGTTGCTGGATCAGTCGGCTGTTGCTGGATCAGTCGGCTGTTGCTGGATCAGTCGGCTGTTGCTGGATCAGTCGGCTGTTGCTGGATCAGTCGGCTGTTGCTGGACCAGTCGGCTGTTGCTGGATCAGTCAGCTGCTGCTGCACCACGGTCAGCTGCTGTTGCACCATCAGCTGTTTCTGAACATGACTCGTCCCGAACCTGTCCGTCCAGCCTGAGCGCCTGCCTTGCCGTCATTGTTTACAAGCCAGGGTGGCCAGTTGCATGCATACATTCGATACATTTTGTATTATTCCATTATTTATAGTGCTTGTAACTGCTAAATAAGCCACCATGGGCCCAAAGAAAGCTTTAGTGCCAACCCTGTGGTAAAAAGGGTGATAAATATTATCGTACCACGGTCAGCTGATAAATTGGACCAGTCAGCTGTTGCTGCACCACAGCTGCTGCTGCTCCACAGCTGCAGCTGCACCATGGTCAGCTGTTGCTGCACCACAGCTGCTGCTGCACCATGGTCAGCTGCACCACAGCTGTTGTTGTTGCTGCACCACCATCAGCTGTATTACTCGAAGATGTGGAGAGAGTGTTGTTGGTGTGGCTTAACGTGAAACAATTACCGAGAACCGAGGACTCTAACTTATTTCAATTGGGGTCCTTAATCTTGTCTCCCAGGATGCAACCTACACCAGTCGACTAACACCCAGGTGAACAGGGAAAAATGCCTGAAACTAGTGCTCATATTGGTGAATTTAAAGCCAGCAAAGGTTGGTTTGAGAGGTTTAAGAATCGTAGTGGCATACACAGTGTGATAAGGCCTGTTCTGGAAGAAAATGCCAAACAGGACCTACAGTGCTCAGGAGGAAAAGGCACTCCCAGGACACAGTGTCTCATCAGTCATTGCTGCATCTTCAATAAAGGTAAGTGTCATTTATTCTTCATTTAGTAGAGTAGTACATGCACAATATATACTGTGCATGTACTACTCTACTATTGTGCATGTATCCTTCTCTTTGTGTGTAGGAAAATGTATATTTCATGTGGTAAAATTTTTTTTTTCCTACTTTTGGGTGTCTTGCACGGATTAATTGATTTCCATTATTTCTTATGGGGAAAATTCATTCGCATAACGATAATTTCGCATAACAATGAGCTCTCATGAACGGATTAATATCGTTATGTGGGGGTCCACTGTATAGGTTTTCATTACTTGCATAATGACTGTAAAGCAATCTGTATGAAGAATATCTAAAGTAGATAAGGATGCAACCCAGCATTACATGACTGTATTGCTGTAATTAAAATCTTAGTGACCCAGGACAATTAAATTTTAAATGAATAATACCATAATGAAGGTACAGTAGGGTCCCCACTTATATGTCTTGTTAGGTTCCAGACTACTGCCATAAAGCAGAACACCATTTTTCCCACTAATTAATGCATATAAATGCATTATAAGTTTACACAGAACTAGGCATTAAAAACTCAATTAAAAGCAAAATACATAGCCAGTGTGGAAAATTTTTATAATTTTCTTGAAATTGGTGTGCAAAAATTGAATAATATAATATAGTTTATAAGAGTGTAATAATAATTATAATAATCATGATGTATATATAATGTAATGTTGGTGTGACTTTTGGAAAAGTTTTGAGTCACAAAGGAACCAACAGACAGGCTGACTTATGGTATAGTGTAAATAGACAGGAGAGTGTAGCAGAGAAAACCTTGGGTAATCGAGGCCGAAAATTAGTATACATGTATTGGCAAAAATGTAGAACTATGAAATAATTTAAGGATGTGGGCATCTACAATTGAGTATATTACACCTTTCTGCTTTGTATTGGACTGATAGAACCACTGTGTGGCGAAACATTTCCTCAATAAAGATTCCTACATGTTGCATAAGTGTTTCAATCTTTGACTTGTCGTTTTTCAAAACCATTCATCACAACTGTCAGACACTGCATCATCATGGGATCTTGATACAAAGAATTCTTCAAAACTTGTCCAACCTTTGAACGAAGACTTGCTTCGACTAGTGGATGGTACCACTATGACCCTGCCTCCCCCTGCTTTGCCTCACCTGACTACAATATACAAGCCACGTCTACAGCCCTATGCTATACATTCTACAAGATTCAAATTCAAAGTTTATTCTCTATAAGGATTACAATGCTGAGTTTACAGAATTTGGTTATTGTGTGGTTTACATGCAGTAAAATACTAATTGCAGAGGGGACCACTAGAACACCTAGCATGGCTAGGCATTTCGGGCAGACTTAGATTAATTCTTAACTTTAAAATATTACAAATTATGAGGTAAGTTGGTATTATGGCTAAGTGACTAAACACTAGTTTGAATTTAGCACAGTGAATGCTTTTGTTTTGGCACAATACATAGTTTCAGTATTGGAGTATCACAGGCCAACTTATGACTAGTTAGGATACATTATTTTAAGATTGAGATTAATATTTCTGTTTATGGTCAAATGGGTGAGTGAGTGTAAGTGTGAACCACCAGGTGGTATTCGTGTAATTAGTTGATGGGGTGTATCAGGGAGATAAGATGTTTTCTGATGGTAGTTTTGAAGGTGATGAATGTGTCTGCAGTTCTAGAGTTTTCAGGTAGGGTGTTCCAGATTTTAGGGCCTTTGACACTGAATTTTTGTAAAGGTTTAGTC